AGCTCCTGGATAAGCTTCTTTCCAGAAGTAGTTTGAGGTATTTGCCAAAAAACAGTTTCCCCATAAGTGTAAGTTCAACTGCTTTGTTTTTGCTTTGGATTTTTTTTATGACTTGGAAGATAATTTAAGAGATGAAAATGAACATGACATTTCACTAAAATTTTAGTCATTTAGATATTGTCCAATTATGTTTTGGTTTTGCTTCTCTGGTATGTGAAAAACATATGGTTTCAATTGTGCATAGAACACTGATTTCTAAATAAATTAGGTAAAATAATTTTGATGACAAATTAATGATGGTATGGTGTTACCAGTTACAATTTCATTTCATTGGTTTGAAAATTCCAGTTCACCACCAAAATTCTATATTTGCTTTTTTTAAACATTTGATTCACTATAGAGCAGGCAGGCAGTATCCTCTGAATAGAGGAAGTAATATATAAAGTACTTCCAGTGATGAAGTGTGACTGTAAAATTTCCGTTTCTTTGGTGAGTTCATGCTGTCTGTTTGTAGGTGCTGTAGATGTAGTCTTCCTCGCATGCAGCGGACTTAGTGCAGTCTCAGGTGGAGAAGGTGGTGGTGGTTCCTGCTTGTTGCTTGGCTGCGCTCTCGAGACGATTGGCTTTAATCGGCCTTGGTGGAGGCTCCTAGGGCCTGCCTGGGTACACCACTCGTCTAATTCTGCCTTTTACTTTGGCAGAAGCTCGTGTCTCCTAAGAGCTGTGGTGTATGGGTGCGTTTTCAGATACCTTTGACCTTTCAGTGACATTTTATTTGAAGGTAGAGATTAGTGACCTGTTGCAGTAGACTGACAGGCCAAGTGTGAGTAGTTTGCATGTCAAAGTGATGCTGCTTTGTCCTCACTGTCCTCACTGGGGAGCTCGGGGGAATACCCAGGCCCAGAGTCAGCGGCGCGGGCTGTCTCTCGAGGACACTTGCCCTGCCAGTTTCTTCTTGCTGCTGGGAATGAGGACCATCGCCTGGGAAAGAAAGGTTTTTCTTTTTTATGAAAAACTAACATATTGTAGGACTGATCAGGGCTTTATTGCTGCTGTACTTGGGTTAATGTAGTTCACAGCTGGGCCAGTAGCGCATGTGCTGTGGCAGGTGACCCCGGTGCCTGTGCACTTTCTCTGAGCTCTTCTTTGCACAGGCCTTCCGGTCTCCCCTGCAGTCAGTTGTGTCTGAGTATAGCTAAGTGTGCTGCGTTCTTCAGGGAAACCCAACGGAATCTTAGACCTTTTTCCCGATGACTATCTAGCGTAACAGAATTACACTTGTGGCTGTGTTCAAGAACCAGGCCTTGGATTTGGAGTAGTGATTCTCGAAGGAATTTCAGGATGATAAAAAGCGGTGATTGAAAGTTTTTGGCAGCATAAGCTTGGGAAGCCTTGGATTTGACATCAAGCTTGGATTTGATGTGTATGAGCTCTCTTGCGAGGCCCTGGTCCTTATTGTCCTAGTAGGTGTTGTGACTCTGCCTAGGACTAGCGCCCATTTGAGGTGAGCAAAATAAGCTATTTGTAGAACCTCCTGCCTCCCCATGCAGCGTTATTTTCTAAACTGGAGCTTGGCAGAATGTGATTTGTGAGCTCCATTGGCTGAGTGTTCACGAATCGTGAATCAGGCTTGCTAGGATGCTGCGTCCTAGGCAGCGCAGTGTGGACGGCTGCGTGCGGGCGCGCCTGTGGAAGTCGCTTCGCCGTCCTCCCCGGGCCTCACCTCCGTGCCAGCGTCCTGGCTGTGGACAGGCAGTCTGTGTATTCTGGTAGTTGACAGTCTGGTCTCAAACTCTCACTTCCATTTATCTTCTCCCCCCCCCATTTATTCTTTAATGTTCTTTAAGACATAAGTACTTAGTTCCTAGCAAGAGGGTGAAAAAATTTAGTTGAAAATTGGCATTCGAGGCTATGTACGTGCAGTGTGTGACTGTCGACACATGTTCTAGAGGTCTCTCAGTGCTGCACGGACAGCTCCGTTTTACCTTCTGCCTGATGGGAGTTCTGACGTTAGTGAAGTACTGTCACTTTTTTGTAGAGAAATCATGCATGTCAATTGAAGCACCTTGAAATCAACCTGAAATTCATTTCTAATGATGAGCTTTTAAAATCTGATCTTTCTTTCTTTCTTTCTTTAGTCAAGAAAGATGTTCCACCCTCAGCTGTCACAAGACCAATATTTGGTATACTGGGCACAATCCATCTGGTGGCAGGTAAGAGAACATAAGCTAAGAAGCCAGAGAAGGCGACAGCATTAGATTGTGAGATTGAAAAACATGCACTTTGTGTCATGCTTTATTTACTTATTTTTTTTATGTATTTAATGCAGGGTCTGCAGGGTCTGCAGGGTCTCACTACACAGATGCGACTCATAGTGATCCTCCTGTTTTCAGCCTCCCCAGTGCTGGGATTACAGGCACACACCACCAGGCCCAGTCTCTTTTGCTTTCTCAGTGTGCCCCAGGGGGGTGGGGCTGGCACAGCACATCAGGGATTGAACCCTGGCCACTGTGTCTGCCTAAGCAGGCACTTTAATCCTCTGAGCTGTCTGGCCACCCTAAATAAATTCTAAGAGGATTTATTTATTTATTTATTTATTTTTGCGGTACTGGGGATTGAACTCAGGCCCTTGCCCTTGCCAGGCATACACTTATTCTACTGAGCTATCTCCCCAGCCCCTCTAAGAGGATTTAAATAATTTTTTTTTTCTCTCTGTATTGAACCTGGCCTTTGGCCCTGAGCTGTGTCTCCCTCCATATTTTCATGTTTTATTTGGAGACAAGGTCTAAGTCACCCAGACTAGACTCAACTTGTGATCCTGCTTCAGCCTCCCGAGTGCTGACATGACGGCTGTGTGCCCCCACAACTGGCTAAATACAAGTTTTTTGTTCTATGTGCTGCCGGAGTGAGCACCTAGACACAGTTTCTGAGGTACCTCTCATCTTGCAAGATGGCAGCGGCCGGTGCCCAGAGCCGAGCAGTGTGCTTGCCCACGTTTGCAGTGGCGTGCGGGATGTTGGGAGTGGTGCAGGGTGCGCTGCGCCGTGTGGGCAGGGTGTGCTGGCTGACCGTGAGGCCTCCCTTCAGGCCACCTGCTGGGAGTGGGCCCTGTGTGGGGACAGTCAGTGGCTGCTTTCTGGCCACTTTCTACCAGCTAAGCCAACTCCTTTGGTTGACACAGGTTTTGTTTTTATCTTTCTGAGACCACATTTGAAACAGTATACTAGTCTTTATACTCATAAATTGTAAGATTGTTTTAAAAACATGGGCCCGTTATCAGAATACCATGGGTGCCGCTTCCTCTGCTTTTGCTTCTGTGATTCAGTTCTTCATTTCAGTGTTGGTGCTGGGTTCAGACCCGGCCCTCGGGGGGCTGCGCCCAGGCTGTGTCCCGAGCGCCAGCTTTTATGTTTATATGTGTTTCGCTGTGCTTTTTCCAGGCAATTACCTTATCGTCATTACCAAAACGATGAAAGTGGGCGAGTTTTTCAATCATGTTATCTGGAAAGCAACAGATTTTGATATTCTTTCTTATAAGAAGACAATGTTGCACTTAACTGATATTCAGGTAAGAACTAGATGCTATATTGCGGAAAGCAAACGGTGCTAGGTGGGCTTGCAGAAGATGAGGCTTGGTGGATTTCTATTAAGGCTCATCATTAATAAGGTCTTCCTACCTTTCTACCCATGCATAATATGTAGATAGACAGATAGATAGATAGATAGATAGATAGATAATAGATTTTTTTTGATTGCCTATGTATTTTATTGGTTTAGAGATTTTTCTAAATAATGAAATTCTTAAATTATGAAATATCTAATGGAAAGAAAAGAACAAGATATGTGTATACTGAACATCCAAATTTAACTTGAAGGGCCGGGGAGATGGCTCAGTAGAATAAGTGCTTGCCTGGCGAGCCCAGGGTCCTGAGTTTAATCCCCGGTTCCACAAAAAAAAAAAAAAATTCATTTGACCTAAAATGCCAGTTTTATAAAAAAAAAAAAAAAAAAAAAAAAACCAACCAAAA